CCCCACTTCTCTCTCTCTCTCTCTCTCTCTTCCTACCCTCTCTCAAAAAAGAAAGAAAAGAGGAGGATGGAAAGGGGAGCCTGGGTGGCTCAGTTGGTTAACTGTCTGACTCTTGATTTCAGCTCAGGTCTTATCTCAGGGTCGTGAGTTCAAGCCCCGCATTGGGCTCTCTGTGCTGGGTGGAAAGCCTACTTTAAAAAAAGTAATAATAATAATAGAATGAATAAATAAATTGTGAAATAGTCACATAACAGAAAACTACAGCAATGAAAATAAACCACCCACAATTATACACGACAGTATGGTTGAGTCTTATAAACACCAAGCTGAGCAAAAGAAGCTGAAAGCAAAAGTGGACACTGGCCTGATTCCACTCATCTTCTGGTCATAAAGTATGAACCCAGGCAAGTTTCACTCATGCTGTTAGGAGTCAGGACGACAGGGCAGGGCAGTAACTGTACAGGAACACAGGGTTTGGTTCTGGGGTGCCAGTGACCATAGTACATTCAATTTGTTAAAATTAATCAAGCTGTATGGTGACCATATGTGCACTTTTCTATATGTAAATTATACCTCAATAAAAAGCTTTTTTTTTTTAAGTGTACAGTGTCCTAAAAATGGAAAAGTGCCTTTTGTACTTTTAAAGGCGAGGAGTTAGGAACGGAGACCAGGCATCTGAATTCCCAGAAGGCATATAAAATGGGGCTGATAGAGAAAAGCTCGATTTTAGGGCATTAGAGAAGAATCTGTGGCCACAACTTGTGGCCTCAGTAGCTGGCCCGTTCTCACACAGCTGCCTCCCAAGATACAAGGCCTGAGAGGGGAGCAAGAGTCTAGAAGAGAGGCTGAGATCCCACCCTGACTGAGGGTAGGCGAAGCCTTCCCCACACCCTGCCCTCCAAGGCGGAACTCCCATTTACCTGTGGGACATGTTTATGTCGCCCAGCAACCCTGGGTAATCACCCTTCCCCAGTCCCCGGTCACCTGCTCATGCTGTGGCTGACCCCAGCCACCAGCTCCGGGTTGGGGCGTTGCTAAATCTGGCCAAGCCGACCCCGAGACATTTGTTGGAATTATTGGTGGGTTGGGAAGGAGAACCTGCGCAGGAAGGATAAAGTCGGAGCTGTTGGGGAAAGCTTGCCAAGAATGAAGCAGAAAGAGGAAGCCCAAGAGAGAAACAGAAGGGAAAAATCAGATTCAACCTCTCAAAGATCTTCTTGGAACACCTAGATGTAGATGTGCCTGAAGGTCACACTCCCAACTTCTTACATAAGCCAGTGAATTCTGTTGTGCTTAGGCCAGCTTGAGTTACATTTGCCATTTATGTCACTGTGAAGTATGTGCCCTTTCGCTGCTCCCCGGAAGCCTGCGTGCACTCTCAGAGATTAAAATGGGCATAACAATGCCCCATGCTAACTGCATGGAACACACTCTATCTTCACGAAGCACTTCAATACCCATCAATCCATTTGATCATCACAGAAATGCCAAGAGAGATAGGGTGAAAGTATCGCTATTCCCGCCTCCTTTGACATCCCAGACTTTTCGAGAGCTGGCAAGGACATCAGGAGCATCTAATTGAGTGCTTCAACGAAGAAAATGAGGTGCAAAGAAAGCAGTGGCCGCCTGGACACAACTAGAGCAAAATACAACTGCAAAGGGCTTTTAAGTTCCTCAAAAGGGCTAAGAACAACATTACTAAGACTCTGATGTTGCCTGAGCCTCTGACTTGAGAACTTAGCTTTTATCCTTGCTCATAAAAAGAATTTTATCGCATCCATGGCCTTCCTTTACAATAAGTAATAACAGGGACCATTCATCAGGCACTGGTCAGCCAACAAAATGCTACGCGTTCATTCTATAGGATCCTCCTCTGAGGCAGATTCTGCTACTAGCCCCATTTTGCAGATGAGGGAACAAAGGCTTAGGCAGATTAAGCGGCTTGTCCCAAATCAGTCAAGTGGCAGAGGTGGGCCTCAAACTAAGTTTGTCCAGCAACAAGACTAGGGCGGGGTTGAGGCCCCAGAATAAGTCATCTGTGCCAAGACTTCATTTGGGGGTCCATCATGCCATCTTCTGCACAGTATCGGAAAGTTTGCCCCTTCTGCTCTGATGTTCACTTCCTTCAGCATTTTTAGAATCCAGCTTAAAAAAAAATATGTCCTGGGGCGCCTGGGTGGCTCGGTCAATTAAGCATCTGACTTTAGCTCAGGTCATGATCTCATGGTACATGGGTTTGAGCCCCGCAACGGACTCTGTGCTGACAGCTTGGAGCCTGGAGCCTGCTTCGGATTCTGTGTCTCCCTCTCTCTCTGCCCCACCCTTGCTTGCACGGTCTCTCTCTGTCTCTCAAGCATGAATAAATGTTAAAAACAAACAAAAAGACAGGTAGGGGTACTGATACTGGGGTGGCTCAGTCTATTAAACGTCTAACTTTTTTTTTTAATGTTTGTTTATTTTTAAGAGAGAGTGAGACAGAGCATGAGCAGGGGAGGGGCAGGGAGAGAGGGAGACCCAAAATCTGAAGCAGACTCCAGGCTCTGAGCTATCAACACAGAGACTGACATGGGGCTTAATCCACAAACCATAAAATCATGACCTGAGCTAAAGTCGGATACTTACCCAACTGAGCAACCCAGGTGCCCCAAGTGTCCGACTCTTAAGCTCAGCTAAGGTCTTGATCTCAGAGTCTTGAGTTTGAACTCTGTGTTGGGCTCCATGCTGGGCATAGAGCCTACTTAAATTAAGAAAAAAAAAAAAAAAAGGACAGGCAATAACAAGTTCTGGCGAGGATGTGGAGAAACTGGAGCCCTTGTGCATTCCTAATGGGAATGTAAAATGGTGCAGCTGCTTTGAAAAAGTCTGGCAGTTCCTCAGGTTAAATATAGTTAACATATGACCCAGTTACCTAGGTGTAGACCCAAGAGAAATGAAAACATTATGTTCACACAAAAACTTGTACACAAATATTCATGGCGGCATTATCTATAATAGACAAGAAAGAGAAACAAGCAAAATGTCCACCAACTGACAAATGGATAAACAAGATGTGGCCTACGCACACACATACAAGAGAATCTTATTCAGCCATGAAAAGGAACCAAGCACTGAGGGTGGCTCGGTCGGTTAGGTGTCCAACTTCAGCTCAGGTTATGATCTTGAGGTTCATGGGTTAGAGCCCCCTATCTGACTCTCTGCTGTCAGCACAGAGCCCACTTCAGATCCTCTGTCCCCCTTGCTCTGCCCCTCCCCCACTCATTCTCTCTCAACAATAAAAAAAAATGTATAAAAAGGAATGAAGCAGTGAAACCTGCTACAACAGGGACGAACCTCAAAAACACGATGCTCAGTGAAAGAAGCCAATCACAAAAGTCCACATATTCTATGATTCCACTTCCATGAAATGTCCAGGATAGACAAACCCACAAAAGGCAAAAAGCACATCCCTGATTATTGGGGGTTGGAAGCAGAGGGGAGCTGGGGGGTACAAAGGCTGACGTTACAGGTTGTCCATGTTATGCAATCAGAGTGCTGATGGCTGCACAACATTGTGAACGTACTAAAAGCACTGAGTTATACACTCTAAAGTGGTAAAATAGTGAATTTTATGTTCATGAATTTTATGTCAATTAAAAAAAATGTTTTTAAACTTCTCCCAAAGAAAGTGATCAAATTGCATGGCTACCTCCTTTGCCCCGCTTTAAAACTTCCCAGGCCAGGGCACCTGGGTGGCTCGGTCAGTTGAGCATCCATCTGCAGCTCAGGTCATGATCTCACGGTTCGTGGGTTTGAGCCCCATGTTGGGCTCTATGCTGAAGGATCGGAGCCTAGAGCCTGCTTCAGGTTCTGTGTCTCCCTCTCTCTGGGACCCTCAGCTGCTCGCACTCCATCTCTCTCTCCATCTCTCTCTCCATCTCTCTCTCTCTCAGAAATAAATGAATATTTTTAAAAAAAATTTTTTAACTCCCTAGGGCTTCCCACCATACTAGGAGTGAAACCCAAACTCCCCACCAGGGCCTGTAAGACCCTAAATGGCCCTGGCCCTCTGACCTCTACCCTTTCCTCCTTTCCCCCTTACTCACTCCATTCATCCCCCACCTCCTGGCCTTTGACCTGGCCTATCCCTCAATCTGGAATGTTCTTTCTCACAGCTGGCCTCTCATCAGTCAGGTCTCTGTCCAAATGTACACACACACACACACACACACACACACACTCTAGGCCTTCTCTAACCAGCCCATCTAAGATAGAGCCCCCATCACTCAACATCCCATTACCCTGCTTTATTTCTTCATAGGCCTTATCATCTTCCAAGAAGGTATCAATTTTTAAAAACTGTTTACTTGTCTGTTGCCTGTCTCACCAACCAAGAGGACAGGGATCCTGTCTGTCATGTTGATAGCTCTGAACTTGCCTCCACGAAGGAGCTACTTGAGAAACACTTCTAGAAAGAACGGATTTACTGAAAGACATCCTGTAACATCTGAAATGCCAGGTCAGGAGTCTGGAACGCTAAGTGATCAGCTACACCCTGCAGGTGCCTGGGGAGTTAATAAGCATTTGCTGGGTACTCAGTGGCAAACCCCACCCTAGACCTGTCTAGAACCCTGAGGAAGCAGGAAGAATGATCCCTCCCCTCCAAAGTCTGAAAGTCTTTCAGGGGTCACAGAGCACGCAGTGTTTACCCAGCAAGCCCCAAACAACGCAAAGGGGAGATCTAAGATTGTGTTGTGATGGAGGCTAGGGTCCAAATCGGCCCTCATAAAACTGTGCGCTGGCAAACATCCTCTCACACAGCTTCTTGCTACTTTGCAATCTGACCTGTTCTCCGGAATGAGACGGTTGCAGCTCACACCTGCTCCTGCCTCCTCCCACGGGGACTTTCTTTTTGGAGGCAGTTAAAAATCTAAACAGGCGGGTGGCAAAGACCTCTGTCCCTTGTCCCCCCCCCCCCCCCCCGTCGGTCTCTCTGAGCTGCACACACAGAGTAAGCAACTTACCCACTAGGAGTTTGACATCTCGGACTGTGAAATCGGGGTCAGGCATCCTGGAAAGACAGGAGCACAGATATTTGCTGAGAAACCAGAAACAACAGAGCTTGGCCCAACCCTGGGGGCAGGGCAAAGCCATTTTTCCAAGAGGGTTCCCTTGCTCTCAGTTTGGGAGCCCAGAATGAGATAATCCAGAGGGAGGGGGGATAGACCAATGAGTCCCCCCAGGGAGGGTCACTCTCCAACCACTGAGCCCTTTCCTCACCCCCTCAGTCTCCCCAACAGCAACTCAGCACTGCCACAGAAAAGCGGATGGGACATCCACTGTCCACCCCACTTTGCAGGGGAAGATTGAATTGTGGTGTCAAACGTAAGCCCCAGAGCTAGGCATTCAAACATCTGCTTTGTTTTAGGGTCAGCAGCCCTCCCTGTGTCTCTTCCTTCCCCTAGCAAATAATCTCCAGAAAAGAAGCTGTATGGAGGGTCGGACGGATCCCTTAGGTTCAAAGGAGGGAAAAAAAGATACACATCATTCCAATTCCGGGCATTTGGTAACACAGGCCATAAGGACTATGGTGACGTTCCTATTAATTCACAGTGACGCCAGAGGTTTGATTTCTAGCCTGGGAATGAAACTCTTGAGCAAGCCTGGCAGTAGATGCCGGAGAGGGAGGAGAGCGGGGATGACACCCACAGCCTCCTCTCCACCCCAGCCCAAGGGGCGGAAACCTGTTCTTCCAGCCTTCCTCCCCGGACCTCTCCCCCCACCCCCCACCTGGAGCTCTGACAGATCTCTAAGAGAATGGAAACCAAACAACACACCATTGGGGAGGCAGGTGCTGGGGCAGGCAGAGGAATAGGTGGCGAGCCGCCTGGCAAGCCGGGAACCATGCCTTCCCCAGAAAAGGACCAATTTCCCACATAGTGGGAGTCTGGAGTAGAAAAATACGTATCTAGGTGCCCTGCCTCTGGGGTTAGAGGCTAGCCAATCCCTTCACAGCTCAGGCCCTGCTTCAGTTTCCTAATTTGGGGAGTACTATATTCGCTTTAGGAAGTCACTGCACCTAACTGCATGGGTCAGGGAAAGAAGTGAACACTGTTTAAGTACCCTCTGTCATCTCTGCCCAAATTCTCTGAAAACAATCTTTGGAGAGTTTTTCCCCTTTGCCAGGCCTTGAACAAAGAGATACTATCCCCAGGTAATGAAGAAAGATCCTTCTCTGTGATGAGAGGTGGGGAGAAGGGCGCAGGACATCCATCCCAAACTATAAACTGTAAGGGAGAGAGACACGGGAAGAAGCAATTAGTTTCAGCAACTTACTTAATCCCCAGTCCATCCTTTTCTCGAAATATCAGGGGAACCCTGAGAGCTTCTCTCTGCACGTACTCATAGTTGAAATCTGTTTGGATATCGGAATTAAAACAGGTTGGTTAAGTCATGAGGGAGCAAACGAACCACGATCAGACCCACTGATCGGAGAAAGAACATGGTTACACTGGATGTGGGTACCAGCTCCAGGGCAAAGCTCCCTGGAAAATGACAAGTTAATGGAGGAGACAAGGGGCGAGAGAGAAGCCAGGCCAATGATCAGCTCCTCTGCCTACTCAGTCATTCCCCGCATGCCCCACGGGTCAGAACTTGTCAATGAGCAGCCCAAGGCCAGGGAGGGTGGGGAGGGAGACTCACGAAAGAGCCCCGCACAGAAAAAGGCCCCAGATCGCTGAGAAAGAGGGACAGAGAAACGCACCCCAAGCTGGGCTCAGAAAAGTAAAGGCAGTGCAAAATTGAAGAATGCCACCTGGGAGGATCTGAAGCCCCAGAGAGGAGGCTGGGGGGGAGAGTTCTCATTGTAGCTGAGCATCAGGGAAGATCTTATTGTAATATCCTGCATAGTGAAGGGGGGTGGGGGGAGCTGGTTTCCCTGGAAACTGTGTATTTGGTGCCAAAATAACTAGAGAACTGGGCACAGCTTTGTTGTCTTAATAGAGAAATTCTGCTGCAGCTATTACAATACTTGCTTCCACTGGGTGACTGAGCAGAATGCTTCCCAGGTGAAGGCTGTATAAACGGGCCACAGTGAGGCCCGAAGAAAATTCACAAGGTAGCTTTCTGCCTCGGGTTTGTCTACCATCAACCCAAAAGCCCTGGAGAACGAAGGAGGCCTTAGTTTCTATGTTCCTCGAGTTCCAAAACCAGGGCATCTGACCCAACCTTCCTTATCCCTAAATATGGGGTTGAGGGAAGTGGAGACAAACCATCACGTCCCCAAATCTTTGGGTGAACAAGGCAATCCACAAGGGCATATGCCCTCTCTGGCCAGTCAGAGGAGAGATCACAGGCCACTGAAGCCCCTGCCCCAGGGAAACAGTTCACCAGGGCAGCCTGGTGGGGGAGGAGGCCAAGGCAACCCCGCTCAGAGCAAGAGGGAGAGAACAAAACCAGAGCTGGGGAAAGCCCTGACCTTAGCAGCTCAGATCCCCAGGGGCTCACACTGAATGGGGATTCCTAAGGATTTAAAGGCAGAGAAGTTTAAAAAGCTTCTACTTTGAATCCAGGCTAAGGGCTCCTTCTGTTTCTCAGCTCCTCCCTCGAATTTTGGGGCCAGATCTGAATTAACTACCAAAACGCAAAGACCCTCTCCTTTGAAAAGAGCCTGGACAGCAGATTTAAGGACTCTCCCTAGCTGGAATCCACCCCCTACACACGCCCACACCCAAAACCCAGCTCCACCCCCCTCCTCAGCTTCAACTTCCTCAAAAGAGCTTGAGAAAACACTCAGATCTTGGGCTGAGAATTCCTCATAAATGACTAGGAAGATTTTGCGTGTTGTTTTCTCCTAGGATCCACCAAACTCAAAATGGGAAGGAAACGAGAGGAATTAAAATCCCATTTGTGCTAAGGAAATTTAAAATGTAGTTGAAACTAGTTCTGCCCCCCTCCCCCAGACTGTCTGCCTCCATATGCGATGCTCTTAAGACCTGGCAGGCTAGAAGAAAGTTCTTCTTCCCTCCCCCAGCAACTACCCCCTACCACTGAGCCCCAGGAAGCAGTGGGCACAAAGGAGAAACTTCAAAAATGCAAAGCCAGGACTGTTTCATCTGGGGGCTAACCTACAGCCCCAGCCACTCAACCAGAACCTGGAGGGGGAGCCCCTTCCCCTGTTACCAGCTCACTGAGGGATGGAAGGGTTTTCCAAGGGGGTTGGGGGGGGGGGGCAACAAAATGGAACCGGTGTATTATAAAGGAAACCTTGAGTATCTGAGAAGAAAAACCCAAACGTAGAAACCCCAGAGAGCATAGGGAAATACCTAGGTTGCAGGGGCATCTCCAAAGCCCTGACCCCGCAGGCAGAGCCAGAGGTCACCAGGGACCCCTGGACGCCGCAGATCCATGCTAGAGCACCGCCCCAGTGCTGGCGAGGCACCACAGACACCTTCCTAACACTGTGGCCAGGGAGGAACTCGAGCCCTGAAGGTCTCAGGCTGGGGTCGCACCCCAGAACCCCAGAAGCTTTCCCAACATCTCTTCTAGACTGGCAGGGCCTACAAGGGACAGAACTCTCAAGGTCTCAGGCTGAGAAGGGACTTGGTTCCCCAGAGGGCTACCCCAAATTCAAACTCGGGGACTGAACGGCAGTCAGGGATCTCAGCCTGAAGCTTGAGGGGGTAAAACTCTCTTACCCCAGTCCCCACTTCAACCTGTCAAGGCTGAAGGGTCAGAGGCCTCAAGTGTAACTGGGGGCGCCAGCCAACAGCTCTGAACTCACCCAGCCTCTGCTCCAATCTGGCAGAGACCAGAAGGGAATGGAGCTCCGCAGACCCCAGCTGCTGAGGAGGCATCATTCGGTGACCGGCGCATCCGCAGCACCAGCTCCTAACTGGCAGCGCCCGAAATGGGACGGGGTTTGAGAGGCTTCGGGGCCTAGGGGGGCCCTCACCCCAATGTCCCAGGGACACCTCAGCCCCTCTCCCAGACCGGCAGCCGCACCTCACACAGCTCCAAGGAGCTGAGCGAGCTCCGGGAGGGGTCGAATGCCGCGCACCCGCCCTCCCTCTGTCCACCCGTCAGTCCCCCGGTCCCTCTGACCGCCAGCCCCCTGGCTCTGCCCACACTGGGGCCGACTGTGGGCGCGGGCCGGGTCTAGGCCCACGCCCGGCCCCCGTTCCCGCCTGCCCTCCTCCTTCGCCACCCCACCCCACCCCCCCCAGTGCTCGGCCTCGTTTCGTCACCGGATCCCCTGGAATGGGGGACGCGGGCGCGAAATACGAACCCAGCCACCAGCAGTTCCCTCCCCACGTGCGCTCGGCCCGCGGCGCGGAGGGCGGCCCGAGGAGGGGGCGCCTCACCTTTGCCCTCCATGGCGTGCACGAAGTCCCCCTGGTACAGCTGACTGCGCAGCTTCTCCTCCAGGCTGAAGCCGCGGACGCTGACGATCTCCTCCACGTCCGACAAGTCCTCGTTCTCGTCGTATCTCTGGCGGTCAATCGGGCGCTGCGGGGACCCAAACCAGAGAGCCCGAGGCATTATTGGGGGAACTGGGGGTCGCCTCTTACCCTAGGCCCTGCTCAAGCAGGTGCAAGAGTGGCGCGCCCCCCGCACCCCACCACCGCTACCCGAGCAACTTTGCGCAAATGCCAAAGATGCTGAAAATCGGGATAACGAGAGGGGCCCGCACCCCCGGGGTCCGGCTGTGCCCTGTACAGGGCACTCCCCTCCTGCATCTTCGGAGACCATGGAGAGGACATCTGGGGGGCTCTCCTTTGCCCCCCACCCCCACCCCCGATAGGTGTTGAGTTTTGTCCACTCGGCCGGGAGCCTGGTTATGTAACCCGCGAAGGGGGCTCCGCGCACGGGCTGGCGGGGCATTTGTAGGCCCCGGGAGGAGCCGCCGCAGCGCCCCGCTCGGCGCTAACAGCAGCCCGGGCGGCCGCGGCGGCAGAGCCGGGAAGCCGGAACCGGGGGCCGGCGGCATTTCTAAGACTGGAGCCGCCCCCGAGCTACTCGGGAAGCTGGAAAGCTGAAATGGAAGGGCTGAGACCCCGGCCACCCCCGCCGACCGCCCGCCAATGCTAGAAGGAGAGGTGGAGGGGGAGGTCGCGGCTTGGGAGGGGGAGAGGCAGACGGCCCGCCACAAAGCTCCCATCGTAGACCCCAAAACGCACCAGCAGCTGCCTCATCTCCCCACAAGCGCGCGCGCACACTCACTTCCTAAGGAGACTCCCCCACCACTCCCCGCATCCCCTGCCTCCTCCCTCGACCGCCCAGCGCCGGGCCCTGCAGCCCCCCAGATTCCGGGAGAACCCCGAGCCCGCTCAGCCCCTCTCCACGCCTTTCCCCGCTACCACCTCCCCACTTAAGTGTCTGAGACTCTGAGCCTCACAAGGGACTGGAGGAGTAAGCTGCTTGCTTCCTTTTGCATGCAATTTATTATATTTTTTCCGGTCCTCTTGCAAAATACAGAAAAGGAAAGAAAAGGCAGCAAGAAACAACAACAACAAAAAAAATAGATCTATCATTACCAGATACAGATTTGGGAAAAAAAAAAAAAAGCTACACACCAATCTTCTTCCAGAGTCTTTCTCTGCCTCCATTTTTTTAGGAGAGTTCACCAATTAATTGTCAACACTCCTGCCCCCTGCATTTTGGCGGAGGGGGGAAGGAGGGAAGACCAAAGAAAACAAACCAAAAAATAAATAAATAAAGCAAGCTAGAGCCGAGATCTACAAAGTTTTGCACCAACACTTAAGCAGATCCGTTTGCAAAGTCCTAGGAAACCATTTTCAGCAGTTGTGGGGGGGAGGCGTCGACGTCATAATCCCCGGAACGTAAACATTGTTGCCGATCGCGCTCTGAGCCTGCGGCCGGGCTAGTGGAGGGGGCACTCGGCCCAGGATCGGGGGGGCGGGGGCGGCTGCCCGAGGAGGTGTAGGGCGGGGAGGGCGCCCGGGAGGCACCGGGCGCCGTTAGCGCCCTGGCATCGCTGTTTTGTTGTTGGGTCACGAGTGCGCCTTGCACGCAGGCGCCGCCGCCGCCCGGGAGTTGTGTGCAGAGCTGACTTTTGGAGGGCTGAGTTGCAGGCGGCGGGCGCATCCCGGAGATGGCGGGGCAGGGAGGGAGGGAAGGAGGAGGGGGTGGGGAGGGAGGTGCAGATTTGCACGGCTGGCCTCAGCGGGAGTCGCGGAAATGCAAGCCGGGCTTGCTGGCTAGAAAGCCCCCGAGGCCTGGCACCCCCCAAAACGACCCCCCACCTCAATCCCTGCCCCCATTGCTCACGGCCCCCACGGGCCACCCCTCTTCCTCTTCCTTCATCCACCCCACCCCACTACCTACGTGGCTGACCCAAATTCAAAGCGCTTTGTATATATAATTGTTTTTTCTGCTGCATGTTTTGTTTTGGGGGGAAGGGGGGAGGTGGAGATCCTCTCCAGACCCCCACATGCGGACCTGCCATATGGAGGAGGCATTTTGGGGGCTCACGAAGAAATTAGCGCAGCTCCATACCTGTACGGACTGCATAACTTTTAAACTCCCGGACTCAAAGATATGGACCCACACACACGCAGGTACAGGAAATACAGCCAGACCAGAGCCTTTTCAGACCCGAGCTGACCGGAAGACGTTGCCTTTCATTCATTCATCCTGCCCGCGTCTGTGGAGTCCTTTACTAGGCGACGAGCCCTGGAACACAAGTTGGACAGTTTTTAAAGGTCCCTGCGCTCGCCAAGAGAAGGAAATAGATGCTCAGGAGTAAAATACCGAGAGAATCGGATCTGGCGCCTCCTAACGCAGCTGGCAAGCAGGCGAAGGGTAAGCCCTCATTGGCCGTTTATAAGAGAAAAGTCGGTGGAAAGGTGCAAAGCGCTCTGGGGTGGGACGCGGGGAACTTTGGGTGCCCCTTGATTAATCCTTTAGGAATTTTTGGCAGAGGTATTGGCACTCTCCTGCTTTCTGTCAATATACCTGGTTGGCCATGGCCACCACCCCCAAATCTGGAATCCTAAATATGCTGTCCTGTAATTCCATTATGAACAACAGTCAGGTAGCCTTTGATGATGAGAAAAGCTGGCTGTACACATTGCTGTAGCCCAACTAGGCCCGATCTTTGGGGTAACGATCAGGAGGAGATGACCACATGGCACCAGGGCTACAATAAAGGAACATTACAGATACTCAGAGCAGGTTTTGCCAAAAAAAAAAAAAAAAAAAAAAACCACTCCCATATTTTTATTTCTGCCATTAGCCCTTTAGGATAGCTGGAGCAGGTAATTTTGAGAAACTGAGGCTCAGAGAAATTATCAATCTGGATGATTCCTCTGCCCTCATAGGGTACCTAGTCAGTCAACACTCCATTCACACAGAGAGGTGTGGAGAGGAAGTGGCTTCCCCATCAGAGATCAGATGTGAACTATCAGCCCTGGCTTGGTCACCCTAAGAGACAGCTTCCCCCTCACTCACCTTAAAGTTTCCTGTCCTAGCTTTCTGTATTCTTTTCTAATCCACTCCCAAAAACTGCTCTTTGAAGTTTGTTTGAAGCCCAGTCCGCTAGATGGCAAATATCAGAATTAGTTTCCAAACTGAAATCGCCCAGTTTAGCTCAGTGTGAGTGAGAAGGGTTTAGCTTTCAACCCCTGTCAAGAACCAGGAACCAATTTATCTGCCTCCCTCTCACACAAGACCCCTTGCAGGGTAATAGTCTTATTACTCCTCACATTACAAAGAGGAAACTGAGTCTCAGAAAGGCAAAACCACTCACCCAAGTTCACAAACTTGTAAGTATAGTTAGCGGGGCTCAAACTGGAGCCTGGTTCCGCCCTCCCATGCTTTTTTAGATATTGACTACCTTCCCTGCTCCCACATAATTAAATGAACATGTTCAAAGGAGGGTCAAGAAAAGGAAGTTAAGTGCAATAAGGTAAAAACGAAATAGAATGCTTGATCCTAACTCTCTTTTCCTCCCAGATACCCTTCTCTCTCTCCCCATGTGGCCTCATGGTGTCCCCAAAGGCTGGTGTCAGGAAAAGATCCGATGGCAGGCACCTCGGTGCAAAAACAGTTAAGTCCATATATCACCCCAATGGGGAGTTCCTGGCCTGTCAGAGTGGAAAGGGGTTGAGTAGTCACCTAATTTAATCCCTTCCCTTTACAAACCATGAGGAAACTACAGACCAGAAAGAAGAATGGGCCAGCCAGGGGTTTGTTCCCCCTTGGACTCCCCCAGAAAGCCTACCCTGCTGCCTGGTCCTAAGTGGTCACTCAATAAATGTTGGGTCCTTGATGGATCACCTTCCCCAGCATATTTGCATTTTCCCTTTATCAGTAATTGGCAGATGAAAGGCTTTGTCCTCCCCTTGAAAGAATTCCAGGCATTTGCTCAAAGTGGGGGAGGAGGTTATTTTGGGCCAAAGGGGGAAGGGCCAAGACCCTTGAGCTCCTGGTGTTGGCTAATTGTCCCAGAGGAGCCAGCAGTAGGTGAGAGAGGGAAGGGAAGATTAAGGTTCTTCTCCAAGAGAAGTACTTTTTCCTGCAGGAAAAAAAAGACCAGGCCAGTTGCATTTGAAACTTAGTGATAATGACTTCCCGGACCCTCCTTCTCATTCTTACAAAAGACCCAGTCAAATCCTGGCTCTGTTGCCCTCATTCATTCATTTCTTCATTTATCAAAGGTTGATTGAGCAGCTCTGTGCTTCAAGACAGAGGGAATATAGAAGAACCAGCTCTGATTGTACACCTACTCCAGGCTGCACACGGAGTGGACAGATGACTCTAAAGGGAATTAGGAATCCCCAGAATCTAGAATCCCAAGACTTTCAAACTGTTAGAAACTGAAGCTGTTTTCATACTCATACATAATTGTATAAGAACTCCTGATTTTTGAGTGCTTACTATGTCTTTAAGCAAAGCTACTCACAGTTGCTATTTCTTTGAATCCTCATCTAAACCCTAATGAGCGAGGGTCTAGAATTCCCCACCTTTATTTCGTTACTTGCCCAAATTTTACAGCTGTAAAATAGCAGAGACAAGATTGGCACCCAGGGCTTGTAGGAATCCAGGGCTCACAGCCTTTACCGTTCACTGTATCTCCCAGTAGCGCTGTCCCCTAGGACATGGTCATTGAAATATTCTATGTCTGTGCTGTCCAATACAGCAGCCTCTAACCACATGTGGCTATTGAGCACTTGAAATGTGAGTAGTGAGATTGAGGCAGTGAATGTCAAATCTTTTTAACTTTAATTAAGATGTAAATAGCTGTATGTAGCTAGTGTCTACTGTTATGGGATTGTGCAACCTTACAGTGTTTTACAGAATTTGTCTTAACTCACCTACCAAGCCATATATACCTCACAGTCTGATTTGGCACCAGGTCTCCATAATCAACCTTCTGGAGATATTTGTGGAATGAACGAAGGGACCCTGAGAAAATGAGGCATTGGAATGATGAGGTGGAGGAAGGGGACAAGGTATGTCTGCAAAGGTTTCCTAGAAGGGGCCATCTGGTACAATGTAAATGGAGTGTTAGCCCTTCAACCACTCACTCTGGGTACCTGCCAGGAGCAAGCCACTGTAGGCACCTGGGGATGCCAGTTGGGTAGAAGATTGATCCCACCTGCCCAGATCTGACAAATAAACTTCTCAAGGACAGGTAATTGGTGATGGGGCAGGAAGCCTTAGAAATGGGTAACCACTTCCTGATATATATCATGCTGATACAAACAAACACAAAGATGCAATCCATTGTAGCCCTGTTTGCAACAGAAAAAGACTGAATATGGGGGCGCCTGGGTGGCTCAGTAGGTTAAGCATCCAACTTCTGCTCAGGTCATGATCCCACAGCTCCTGAGTTTGAGCCCAGAGTCCGGCTCTCTACTGACAGCTCAGAGCCTGGAGCCTGCTTGAGATTCTGTGTCTCCCTCTCTCTCTGCCCCTCGTCCACTTGTGCTCTCTATCTCTCTGTCTCTGTCTCTCTCTCAAAAATAAACATTAAAAAAATTAAAAAAGAAAAAGGCTGAGTATGATCTAAAAGTTAGGGAGCTGATTAAATAATTCTTGGACCATTTGTGCAATGAAACGTTATCAAAACACAAAGAACAAAGTAGTTCTACATATACTGATGTAGGAGGATTTCATGACATCCTGAACACAAAACAGAAAAGGTGTGGAATAGTTAGACTAAAATTGTGCTGACCACTTACATCAACCAAAGGGGACAAACCTATATCTGCGTTTATTCTTTCGTATATACAGGATTTTATTCGGAAATAAATAAAATGTAAAAATGGGGGGAGGGCACCTGGGTGGTTCAATCGGTTAAGCATCCAACTTCCACTCGGGTCATGATCTCAGGGTTCGTGGGTTCAAGCCCTGCGTCGGGCTCTGTGCTGACAGCCAGCTCAGAGCCTGGAGCCTGTTTCAGTCTGTGACTCCCTCTCTCTCTGACCCTCCCCTGCTCACGCTGTCTCTGTCTCTCAGAAATAAATAAAACGTTAAAAAAAATTTTTTAAAGACAATAAAGTTCAAATAAGTATTGTTTAGGTATATACTCATAAGCAGTAAGGTATAAATAAAAGCGAATGATTAACACAAAATGCAGGAAGAGACTCAACTCTGAACAGGGAGAAGTGCTGGTGATTTTCTGTTTCTTAATCTGGATGGTGGGCACCTGAGTGTAATTCTTTAAAATTTTACAAATAAAATTGTACTTATGAAGTATTCCACAATCTAAAAATTGTCTTGGGGAGCCTGGGTGGCTCACTTGGTTAAGCATCTGAATTCAGCTCAGGTCAGGGTCTTGCAGTTTGTGGGTTCAAGCCCTGCATCAGGCTCTGAGCCAACAGCTCAGAGCCTGGAGTCTGCTTCAGATTCTGTGTCTCCCTCTGTCTCTGCCCCTCACACTCTCACACTGTTTCTTTCTCTTTCTCTCAAAAATAAACATTCAAAACAATTTTTAATAAAAAATAAATAAGAATTGTTTTAAAATTGCTTCAAGTCTAAGAGCATCTGGCTGGCTGTGTGGGTAGAACATGCGACTCTTGATCCCAGGGTTATGAATTCGAGCCCCATGTTGGGTGTAGAGGTTACTTAAAAATAAAATCTTTTTTAAAAAATGGCTTTAGTTCTTTCTCCCCCGTCCCCACACATTCCCCCCTAGTTTCTCCTGTCCACACTCCCATCCCCAGAAAACTTGCTAGCATGTCTCTTGTGTGTCCTATCAGAAATAGTTTATACATTTACACACTTCTATATATATTTTCTATTATTATTATTTCACGTAAATATTACCCATTGTCCTCTTTCTTCCATTTTGCACTTAATATTATCTTGGAGATCTTTCCATATATTATCTGTAGAACTGCATCATTCTAAAATATTATGGAAGGATGAGGTAAGTCTGAATGTCATGATTCAGAAAATGTTCAAGATTGGTTAAGAAACAAAAAAAAATCAGGATATCGGTGCACCTGGGTGGCTCAGTCGGTTAAGCGTACGACTTCAGCTCAGGTCATGATTTCATGGTTCGTGGGTTCGAGCCCCACGTCGGGCTCTGTGCTGACAGCTAGCTCAGAGCCTGGAGCCTGTTTCAGATTCTGTGTCTCCCTCTCTCTCTGACCCTCCCCTGCTCACGCTCTCTCTCTCTCTCTATCTCTCAGAAATAAATAAAACATTAAAAAAAATTTTTTTTAAATCAGGATATCATATATGCTATGATCCCATTTAAGTTAAAAAAGAAGAAGGAAGAGCTTGCATGGAGCAGCAAGCCATTAAGTTTGATCACTTCTGAGGAGGGAGAAAACGTTGAGGGAGTTATATAGAGACCATCATATATTATTTGCCCTTTTATATTTATCAAATATTTCAAACATAAAGGCGTAGAAAGTAAATATACCAAATATAACAAGGACTTGTGTATCCACTTCCTAGCTTTGCCAAGTCCTAGGTTTTTGTCATATTTTGTATTACTTTTGCAATTTAATAAATACTTTGGGGAAGAGCATACCATGCTTTCTCTGTTCAAGTGATTGGAATTCCCAAAGACATTTTTTCCTTTTTTTTCTTTTTTTTCCCCCACCAGTCCCATGTCGATTGAAGTATCACTTAGAAAGAGCAGCTTACAAACAGCCTGAGTGTCAGGCTTTGGGCATTTGGGGAAGACTGTGTCGAGAGTTCTACAACTTGGAAATAACAGGTGAGTTAATTAAGGGGTTAACTCCAGGAGGCGAGTCCTAAAAGTTCAAAGAGACTTTCAAAACTTGCATCTTTGGATTGATGGACAAGTGTATTAACCAATGGAAATCAAAGTCCAAGCATTACTTCATCATGCTAAATTATCATTGGTTGTCAATCCCTGGGGGCCGGACTGCAGGGCTGGCAGTTAACCATTTCAGGAACGATCTTGCCCTTAACATCAATTTTATTTTGAAAGATTAAATGGGGACAGATGAAAAGCCTAAAAAGATCCCCCAGACCTTCAAGTGTCGTTGTGGATTTCACCCCAGCAGGTAGAGTTCCGCCCCACAAAGGAACACCCCGGGACAAATTTCCTGGAGAAAAGTTTTGAACCTTTAAAATGAGGAATCAGCTGACCTTGCTTAGTGAGAGGGGAGGGGAGGGGAGAAGTCCGATTCACTTTTTGTGCTGTCAGAACAGTGTTGGAGCCAATTCCATTAATCTTGCAGAGCAATCAGTCACTGAGAGGATTGAATTGCATTTCCTGCCCCAAAGATGTAGAGACCGATGACCTTTGCAGCAGCCCTCAGACCCCCCAGTTCACAGCTGGAGAGAGGATGTGTCAGCATTTACTTTCGGGTCTCACCCTGTCCTTTGTTCAGAACTCAAACTCTTTGTGCGCAGGCTGCTGCAGGGGTTTTTGTAGTTGTTGATGCTGCCGATTTTTTTTTTTTAACCTCCCACGTCTTGGAACTTCTGAGAATCAAACTCTCTATTTAGCAGAAGATAATATCTGGAGGTGCCCCCAGAGAGGGAACCAGAATAGAGGCTGGGGAATTTTAAGAGAGGCCATTGGACCTTCTGGCTTTCATTACTGCCCCTTCCTGGGCTCCCTGAATGCTGCAGGCTGAACTGGATAGAGCCAAAAGCCCTGCAAGAGGAATAATAATGCCTTATGTGGACATGGGTCTGTTACCCAAAAAAAGCTTTTACATACATGCATTACCTCAGGTAAAAAGGAACTGCGAAGAATAAAAGCATTTACATAAAGGGACATTCTAAATTCCCAAATCAGGTGAGCAATATGACCTCGGACAAGATGCCCAGACTAAGCCTCAGTTATCACATCTGTAAAATGGGGGTCATAATATCAAACAAATAAGAGTTATAGGATTAAATGAACGAGTGTTCTACAACAGGGTGGTCATGTCATGTCTTCGTTAAAATTAAGTCGACCTTCTTTCCCCAGCAGGCCTTCAAAGTCTGAACGCGCTCAACTGTTTTGAGTTCTTTGAATAAACCTGCTTTCTCTCCTCCAGACCTTTGCATTTGCTGACCCCTGCGCCAGGAGCAGCCTCTCCTGCCAGCCATCCTCTCCGTAGCCCGTACTTATCTTCTTGGAACCACCTTTGATATCTTCTCTCTCCTGCCCCCCTCATAATTCTCATCACCTGATCTTAGTGTTGCCTATGCCGTCAGCAGACTGGGAGGCCTAGGGGTGTAGGGACCCTGGCTGCCTCCCTCATGGATGTGTCTCCTGCCAAGCACAGCGCCAGCACCTACACTGAAAGCACATGTCAAAGCGCACCAGGCTGACTCAGTGAGGAGAGCATGTAACTCTTGATCTTGGGGTGGTGAGCTGAAGTCCTACGTTGGGTGTGGAGCCTACTTAAAAAAAAGAAAAAGTACCTGTCTAATGGAAGTCCAGCACCCCCACTGTGCCTCCTTTAGTCCCCGAATTCCTCACCCTTCCAGAAATCTAGGAGTAACAGTACTGAGATTTTCTCCTGTCCTCGTAAGCCATATTACAACATCCTTTGCAAATGGAGTCAGTGGCTTTTTACCCCTCCTTGAAATGCACTTCATTAATTCACCAACTACTTACTGAGTACCTCCTAGGTTCCTCCACAGATCAGCCTTTATAGGAGAGCCTACTCTTCTCCCATAGCACCTCTTCATGGCACAGGCAGGCCTTCCACCCTGGTGAGGCTAGGATGCTCTTGAATGGAATAGACACTTGGCTCTTACCCCAACCCCAAGAGAGAAATCTCTGAGACCTCCCCTTGCAAAGTGAGAGTCAGGTAAGTTTGCCCAGCTTACCCTAGCACAAAGCTCTTAACATTCAGAATACTTGTGATAACTACAATAAAATACTCATGTGTGAACAGTCTATTGTCTGACTCTCTCTTTTAAAGGAAAAGGCCCGGGGCCTCTGGGTGGCTCAGTGGGTTAAGCTTCTGAGTTTGGCTCAGGTCATAATCTCATCACCATCTCTGAGGTTCATTGGTGAGTTCAAGCCCGCATGGGGTTTGCTTTGTGCTGACAGCTCAGAGCCAGGAGCCCGCTTTTGATTCTGGGCTCCTTTCTCTGCCCCTCCCCCGCTTATGCTCTTGTTTCATCTCCCTCTCTCAAAAATAATAAACGTTAAGATAGATAGATAGAGGGACGCCTGGGTGGCTTAGTTGGTTAAGCGTCCGACTTTCGCTTAGGTCATGATCTCGCGGTTCGTGGGTTCGAGCCCCGCATCGGGCTCTGTGCTGACTGCCAGCTCAGAGCCTGGAGCCTATTTCGGGGTCTGTATCTCTCTCTCTCTGACCCTCCCCTGCTCACGCTGTCCCTCTCTCTCCTAAAAATAAATAAAAATAAAAAATATTTTTTAAAAAAGATAGATAGATAGATAGATAGATAGATAGATAGATAGATAGATAGATAGATAAAGGAAAAGTCCCTAGAGTGCCTGGCTGGCTCAGTCAGTAGAACATAGGACTCTTGATCTCAGGGACCTGGGTTCCAGCCCCACGTTGGGCTTAGAGGTTACATAAATAGGTATATAAAAAAAGAAAGAAAAATTTAAAAATAAAAAAAAGTCTCTGAGGAGACTGACCTTGGCCTTAGTCTACTGCTTATCCTCAGCCCCTAGGACTTGGTTGTAAAATGTCTATTTTCAGCTTAACTAAATCTTAAACTGTACCTCTTTGAAGAAGATGCAAAGTTCTAAGTGGTTCTCTCAAAGTGTAATAGACAAGGCGGTGTGCCTGGTGAGGTGGTGCTCTACACCCTTCTAGCTCCAAAGCCCAGGCTCTCCTCCACTCTATTACAGACTGCCTGGCCACTTCATGAGATCTGCTGGGCAGAAATTGAGTCGCGGGGCCACAGGGTGGGAGGGGAGGGGGGTTGGGGGCCAGGGAACCAGCTGTCCTCACCGGCAGCTGAGGCCTGCAGACCCCCTCCTCTGAGAGGCCCCTGGAGCTGGTAATGTTGGGCGGGGAGAGGGAAAGTCACTCTTTGCACTCAAGCAGGCTTCCCCAGGGCGATGCAGGGGTTTTATCACTAGTCACTAGCCACTTGGTCTCCCAGCTTGATGGCCTGGAGTCTGGAGACCCTGGGCGGAAGGGGGCGTGGCACAGGGCCGGCTGTGGGGGCAGGGCTGGGGCTGGTAGTGCCTCTGGGTCGACAGCAGCCCCAAAATGACCTAGACAGCCTTAGACTTTGCTCCTGATCTCTGGAATCCATTCATCAGCCTGAGCCTTGACTTCATTCAGACCCTGCATCCACATCACCCACAGGAGATCACTCTTAATGTCTGCCCTGGGCGTGGCAAGGACCCTTTAGCAGTTTAGTGAGTACTCCACTCACCTGGATCAATTTAAATTCTTAGAAGAAAGTTTGAGGTGGGGCGCCTGGTTGGCTTAGTCGGTTAAGCGTCCGACTTTCGCTTGGGTCATGATCTCGCGGTTCATGGTTTGAGCCCCGCGTCGGGCTCTGTGCTGACTGCCGGCTCAGAGCCTGGAGCCTGTTTCAGTCTGTGACTCCCTCTCTCTCTGACCCTCCCCTGCTCACGCTGTCTCTCTCTCTCTCCTAAAGATAAAAAAAAAAAAAAAATTTTTTTTAAAAAAAGAAGAAAGTTTGAGGCTTCTTTTGTTATACCACAATCCTAGGCACTCAATAGAGGCACAGCAAAGAATAAGATACTCCTCCTTTCCGGGGTCCTAACTTCTTAGCCTATAAACTGTGTGCCAGTGGGTAAGTGACTTCACCCCTCTTAATCTCATTATCATTTCTACAATGGGAAAATAATAGATGTTTGGGAGAATGAAATGAAACCACAGAAACCCCAGTCAACACACTCCATAGTTCCTTTTTCTGCTTTCATTTTATCTGTAGCACTGATCACCATCTATCATAGTACATATTTTATTTGTTATTTTTCTCACCCCACTAGGATGCCAACTCCACAAAGCAGCAATTTTAATCTTTTCTGTCCACCTCTGTACCCCCACACCTGTCAAATAGAACTGGGCCCATGAGAGTCTCAATAAATATTTGTTGAATAAATGAATGGATAGATGCAAAGTGATTAGCACTCAGTGCCCCATAATGATTGATACCGCTAGTTTAAGCACTCAGTCTCCGGAATCTAACTGAGAGCGGTATAATTGAGGTGGGAGAAATTTAGCATCATGATAAGATGTTTGGCACTCTAGCTGTGTGATCTGGAACAAGTGTCTTTGCTTTTCTAAGTAAGGCTCAGTTTTCTCATCTGTAAAATGGAGGTAATAATAGTACCTTCCTGGTAGGATGTGAAGATGGGATAAAATGGCAATGTAAAGCATTTAGTAGAGTGTCTGATATATACTAAGTGCTCAATGAACAATGATCATCATTATTCGTTATAGTAATACTCAGACGAGAGGTGATGTCTAAGTCAATTAAGCCATTGCTAAGCACTGAAATATGTCAGGGTCTAGCAGGCTCAAATAATGTTTATTCACCTCGATCTGTGAGCTCCTCAAGGAAAGAGATTGTGTTTACATTGTCATGATCTTGGCCCACGGTAGACATACTAAGACATGCTGGAAAAATTACATTCTGGACTCTCATAGAGGGAGAACATAGAAGAGCTACTAAAATAATAATAATACCAATGAAAGGCCTACTATGTGCCAGGTACAGTATTGGGTGCTGGAAATAGAGCGATGAGCTCAAACAAACATGGTGGCTACCACTTTCAGGCTAGTGAAACTTAGCAGAGTTGACAGGCTGTGTTCCAATAGTTACACTGGCAGTTGGAACATTGCACCTAAGTGTATCACAACAGGGAGGTATAGGAGGCTCTGCCATATAGAATGTGGGCCTGGAGATGATAGGGTTGACCTGGTCTTTGGTTGAGGAGGAAGTCAGGGAGCTGCTCTAAGCGAAGAGCTGAGCTCTGTGGAAATAAGAAGTCTGGCTAGGCTGAGGGCAGGGGAAGTGTTCTCAGCAGAAAAAAATAGCAGATATAAAGGCCTTGTGATGGGGGAGGCCACGTACTGAAGGAACTGAAAAAAAGCCTAGATGAGGGCAGGGGCTAGGAGTGAAATAAACTGGCAAAAGAAGTCGGCACTTTGGAAATTAATTGGGCAATATATGGTAAAGCTGAAAGAGTGTACAACCTATAATCCAGTAATTCCAACTCTAGGAACATTCTAGAGAAACAGCCATGAGTACACTGGGAAGCATGAACAAGGATGTTAGCCCTAGTCACATTGTATGCAGTCCCAAAAACACAGTGAAACAACCCAGATGTTTATCAACAGGAGAAGAGACAAATTGCAGAACGTTTTCCTTGGGTTTCTCAGAAAGCAGTCTGAATCAAAAATCAGCATAGTATTTCTTATCAGAGAATGTAGTCCTGAGGAAGCAAGAGTGCAGAAAAGGGGCAGTGAGGCAGGGAAAGAGGGTGAGTCAGCATGAGGGTATCAAGGAGTGGCCATATTTACTGAGCATCTTAGCACAGTACTGGGGGTCGGAAGAAGGGAAGAGAATTATCTGCTGGCTCCTGGTCCAACGTTTGCCCCACGGGGTGTAAATGGCCCCTACTTGGAGATTACCCATGTGTGAGTACTTCAGATGCCTCTCAGTGTTGCACGCATCCGCCACAAAGAGAAGCCCCAGATGGAGTCTAGTTGATCAGAGTCCACACAGAATCGGTCACCATGTAATGGTCAGGATGGAAGAGGTGGCCAGGGGAGATTGCCTGAGATGGGAGGCTGAGAGGAGCTCAGGAAGCCTGTGACATCTGTGGTGTAATACCAAACACTGGACAGCAGTGAAAGAGACGCATAGCTGCGTGCGTCCACATGGATGCTAGCCAAACGATGTTGAGTTGAAAGGCAAGTCACAGAAGAAGGTACAAGGTAAAGTTTATTTATTTTCAAAAAGAAGCCAGTGTAAACAACACGTGTGAAAAAGCAATGGAATAATAACGGATAAATCCAAAGTTGAGGCTACTAGTTGCTTCTGGGGAGTTAGGAGGAGGAGATTGTTATGGGGCCACGGAGAATTCCAGAGAAAATGCTGGTGATGTTGGGGGTTTTGTTGCTACTGTGTTTTTGTTGTTGTTGTTTTGTTTTGTTTTTTAAATGTTATTTGTTTTTGAGAGAGAGAGCATGAGCAGGACAGGGGAAGAGAAAGGGAGGCACAGAATCCGAAGAAGGCTGCAGGCTCTGAGCTGTCAGCACAGAGCCCGACGTGGGGCTCGAACCCACAAACTGTGAGATCATGACCTGAGCCTCAGCCAGACACTCAACCGACTGAGCCACCAATGCACCCAAATGATTATATTTTTAAGTAATCTCTACACCCTGTGTGGGGCTCAAACCCACAACCCTGAGATCAAGAGTTGCCTGCTCCACCCACCGAGCCAGCTAGGCGCCACTTCATTTAAATAATTTTTAAGGTACAGCTCAGTGGCATTAAGTATATTCACATTCATATTGTTGTGTAACCATCGCTACCATCCAATTCTAGAATCTTTCCTTCACCCTGCTCTTAGTTAGCTTGGGCAACTCTGACAAAATACATACTCAGAGTGGCTTAAACAACAGACATTTATTTATTACAGTTCTAGAGGCTGGGAGTTCAAGGTCAAGTTGCCAGCACATTTGGTGTCCAATGGGGGCAGTCTTCCTCACAGATGGTCTCCTCACTGTAACCTCACATGGGGGAGGGGAGCTCTCTAAGGTCTCTTTTACAAGGCACTAATCCCAATCCTAAGGGTGACAGCCCACTTCTTGGTTTGTAGCGAGCCGCCTTTTCCCTGTGTGCTCACATGCCTTTCCGTGGAGCCTGTGTGGAGAGAGATTTCTCTC